ATGTGCTTTATATTGCTTTATGTGCTTTTAAAATAAGTTGTGTGTGTGGTTGCAATCAAGTCATTAGCAAAAAACCCTGTGCTTATGAGCTGGTATTTTGTGCAAAGCTTCAATTTTGTTTTGGTACAAGATGCGTTACTGAGTGTCACAGGAAGTATGTTCACTTGGTGCAGCTGGACAATTTCCGATCTAAATGATTATGCATTGACAATGTTGTTAAAATCTGTAGACTTTAGCAGAGAGTGAGAAATTTGGCATTTTTATCGTGACTCAATTTCACTTGTTTTTATTTTATTTAAAAAAAAATGTTTGGTGGCCATTTTTATTTGAAACATTTTTTTATTAAAAAAATGCATGATATTGTTATAGTCGTATGTTAATCTAAATTGAAATATGTTTTTTAGATCATATAAATTATGCTAAAAATTAATTTATGTTGTTGTTTTTGGTTAACTATTCCGAAGGGCCTTTCAGGAACACACATAATCTTAATGGAGGTTTTAAATGATAAATTTTATATTATTTATCATTAAGTGTGATTTAAAAAAAAAATGCAAACCAACAATTCTGTCATCATTTACGCACCCTCATGTTGTTTCAAACCTGTATGAATTTAACTTTTGTTGAGTACTTTTTTCATACTATGGAAGTCAATGGCTACCGTCAACTGTTTGGTTACCAACATTCTTCAAAACATCTTCTTTTATATTTGTTTAGGTTTGGAACAACTTGAGGGTAAGTAAATGATGACAGTTTTTTTTTGGGTGGGGGGGTGAACTATCCCTTTAAAATAAAATAATTTTCTAGTTGTATGTACACTGTTGTTGCTGATTTTATTGCAATTTTTCATGTTTAGTAAGCTGTTGTCTTGAGATGTCAGGATGGGTTTGTTCCTCTGTCAAAGTCACCAGTTAGGTGACTGTTACCTTTGTCGTGTTTCACATACTGAGCGTGGCATTTAAAGGCATGTTATGAGTGTTTTATTTCATGTGAGTGTTTATGATCAATGTATAATACCTATCAATTCAATTCAGTTCAATTCACTTTGTCACATCCTGAAAACGTGTGCAAGGAGTGAAAATGCATATATAAATCATTGCAATACAATAGCAAGTCAATAATCTCAACCTACACACTAATACAATAATGGCAAATTTGAATGAATGGCATTTTAAGTTCATTCATTTAGCAGATGAATTCAACTCTAAAAACGCATGCAAACATTTTTTTTTTTTCGAGATTTTACAAACACCTCATTTTTGTCAGTTTTTACCACATAGGCGAAATACACAAATAAGCAAAATTACCCACAGTGTGCCTGCATTTGACTGGTGTGGGGTGTTAGTTTCACACCTTGCTGTAGAAAGATGCCATGTTTACAGATCAGCATTTTTTCTCATGCCGTGTTTTGTTTTGTTTGTTCATTTTATGCTTTTTCTTTTTATTCTAATTTTACTTTGTGTCTGGCATCAGACAGTATTTCCTCACAGATACGGGCTGCTGAATGCATGCATGCACACACTCTTTCTCAGACTGTGCTCAAAATAATGATATTGATCAGTATAGCTTTTTGGGTAGTATGTGACAGGATGTGACTTGTTTGGTAGTGACAGCACTGCCAAACCAAGCTATGGTCTATTTCCTGTGAGTTATTTGCAGAAACAAGTCCTGTTTTTTAATTGACACTGTGCCTGGAGTGTTGTTTGCTTCATGTCAGAAATCACAGTTTACAGTAGTGAAAGAATCTGCACAGTTGTCCATCTTAACAAGTGACAGAGAAACAATAAAAACAATATGCATATAGACCTATTTTTAAATGTAACAAAATTTGTGACAAAATGTATATATAATTCTACTAGTTATTTGACTGCTTTGTCCTGTGTGAAGACTTTTGGGGGTATTATGAATTAGGTAATATAAGTTAAGTAAATTGATATACATGGGGTCCAAAAGTCTGATACATTGTAAAAAAAAAAGAAATAAAAATTCTGAAGTTGTAAATAAAATAAAGATTATTGGAGTACGTTTTACAAGAAAATACTATGTTTAGTACTATTTTAAAATTTCATGTTTAATTGTCTTACTTGCCGATTTTTTGTAATTATTTGTGAAATTTACTAGGAATTTCTAAGTGAAAATAGTTTCTACAACAATTTTTTTAAGTACCTTCGCATTTTTATTTAATTCAATTTAACACAAATGCTTTTCATTACAAATTATATTATCAACATAACAATAAATGAGTAAAAACAGGATTGCTAAATTATTTGTGTCCCTGGTATTTGGTTTTTATCTCATAACTTATTTCTGTTTGTCTATGTTTATTTTCAGGTTTAAATACGAAAAAAAAAAAAATTCATTGTAGACTTGTAAACCCCACCATACATTTTTTTTTTTATTATTATTGGTTATGACAGTTTTTAGACTCTTAAAACTATACGTTCAGCAGTCACTCTAATTTATTTAAAGTAATCTTTATTCTAAAGTATTCTTTAAATAGATTCATCATAAGAGTACTTTCAGTTATTTGGTTTTATATGAACAAAAAGTATAAATTAAATCTGTTCTGTTGATTTGTTGACAGTAAATGACTTTTTAGACAAAGTGTGTCAGGTCTAGTTGCATGTCTACCTCTCCTATGTTCTCCACAAACAGCATGCAACCTCACGCAAATCAGCCGCATGTTTTATGTTCAAATATAGACGTCTGGGTTTGGAGATCCCCTTATGGCACGTATTTGAGCGGATGCACAAAAACAGCATTAACCCAGAAAATACAATGTTGTGCTGCTGAGTTGGCGATGAAAATGCTGTTTTAGTAAAATTGGAAAATTCTTGCGTCTTTTTTAATTTATAGTTTCTTTGAAGTACATCGTGTATGAACAGACCTGACCGTTTTACTGCTTAAAGCATAAAAGCTGTAATTGGTCAGCAGAAACTTTTTGCGAATGAAAAAAAAATTAAATGACTTAATCCTGCTGTTTGTGCTGGTGACATCATGGAGTTTCAGCTGTTGTGTTTTATTACCTAATATCTTAATTTGAGACACAGTTTTAACAGAAGTGATTATGGCAAAGCTTTCTTTTGCAATCATATTGCATTTCTTCATTAGAAATCTGTCTATAGGAAGACCTAAAAATGAACACAGCCAACAAATGAATAAGAATATATTTTCCACATTCACTGTCTTTAGCAACATTTTGCTCATAAATGTACTCCAGGTGCATCTCATCATGAGGATTAGACATCTTTAGCTGTTCAAATGTATAAAAACTGCAGTGTGCATTATTTGAAATTGAGTTTGTGAATTATTTTGTGTTGCATAATTCACTTTGTGAAGTCTATTTACTCATCTTGATGATAATGTTAGATTACCCTGATTCTTTGTAATTATTCATGTCACTTTAATGATGATTGCACTAAGACAGAAAGCTTTATTTATGTCAGAATACTTTGTGTACACCAGATAATTCATCAGATAATTGTGAACAGGGTTGAACATAAGAGAACAACTGTAAAAAAAACAATTGCTGTGCATTATGTAAATTTCTCTTATGTATTGCAGTCTGCAACAGGCAAAATTGGTGCTAGGCATGGAAATTCTGCAAGCACTAGTAACCTACTGTATAGTTTACAGATAGAAACTAGGAAAGGTGCCAGTCTAAAAGGAAAGTATTATCAAAGAAAGCAGCAAAACTCTACAGTTCAAGTCACACCTGCAAACCACAAGAAGCCACTTAGAATGAAATTGTGGTAAAATGACATTTTAGTGAAATAAATGATTTATGACTCAAAAAGTGGCCATAAAAAGATTTTTATTTCTTTTTCAATACAACATTCTTAAAAATAAAGGTTCTTTATTGGAATTATTGGTTGCATTAAGAACCTTTAACACCCATGGAAGCTTTCCATTCCACAAAATGTTCTTTATAGTCGAAAGACTAAAGATTGACAACTGACTTATGAAAAAAAGTTGATTTATTGTAATTTCTCTTAACACAGTAGGAGTGTAAACAAAAATTATGTCTCCGAAACCACTTAAAACACAGGTTAGCCAACATGTGGGCAATTCTAGATCGGAAATAGACCACATTTACCTCGTCAACAGTTTTACAACATTAGCCAATCTAACAAAAATCATACAGAATGCATGTGCTCATATTTTATGCAAAATTATGCATAATGTATTTTATGCACAATTGTGCATGCAGAAAAACCAAATCGTTTTTTTTCAGGCTTTTAACCCTCCTGTTGTGTTGGGGATTTGATTTTTTTCTTAATTGCTTGAAAATGGTTAAACTATTTATTTATTCTTTAAATTTTGTGACTTTTTCTCATGCAAAGTTTTACCACGTGTTTTGGAAAGGCTGTACAAAAATGGTTACAACCTCCATTGACCCCCATTGGTGTTCATGCAGTTGGCCAAAAATCAACACTTTGAAAAACACAAAAGTCAGGTAAAAAAACAACAAAAAAAAACATTTTTTGTAGCTTGTCAAAGACCAAAATATGGCATATATAAAAAATTTATAAAGATTAAGACTCTTAAGAAAAGTCTGTGAAATTATGTTTTTGATTGTTAGTTTTTTTAATCTCAATTACTAGACCATTGTCAGTGAAATGTATGCTAATGAAAACATATCTGATACTAAAGCACACTTACTGGATGTGAAAGTCATGTTGAAAAGCCATTTGAAAGTTAGCAGTAGGAATCATGTAATCCTGTAATTAAGTTGTATAATTCCCACCCTTCGCAGAGACTTATCAGGACAGGAAGTCAATAGCTCTGGCTCCGATATGCAAACAGCAAGCTGCACTCATATTTCCACTAACTGGAGCTCCAAAGAAATGTCTCATCCCAAACTATCCGCGATTTCTTTAGACACTCACACACACACACAAACAAACACAATCACAGTCTCCCTGTGTTCCTCCCCTCTTTTGTTTCTCCCCTTAAATGCTCCAGCCACAGCTAACCCACGTCCATTTATTCACCAAACAGCTCCCTCACACACTCCATGTAGTTGACATTTATCTTGAACAATGATTTATCTCTCTGGATTACTTTTGCTCTTGCTGGATCCGTCTATGATCTGTGGTAGGAGATCTTCAGTTTAAGATCTAACATAAAGCATGAGTTTATCTGTATGAACATCTGACAGCGATGCCATTACTCTTGTTTATGGAAATTATCTAGGAGACATGAAACATCTTACAAGCTTTTCTATGAATCATTGAGCTTTGCTAGTGTTGCACTAAACGTTCAACCTGTTTGCAATAGAATAGATTTATTATAAAAAAGTTGATGAATATCTGGTAGCAACATGGATGATCATTAAAAACGTTTATCTCTATTCTCAGGTCAAACGACGCAAGATAACAGAACAGCATTTGAAGGTAAGGGACTAGCTATTAAATCATCTCTCAGTGAGGAAAAAATCTCTTTAAATACTCAGTTATTTCTCCTAGAGATCAACAAAGAGAGAAAATTGAGACCTTTGCCTAAATCTCCTGCTTCTCACTTATTCTTTTGAGAAAACTATAGTAATCTGTATGGAAGCCTGTTTCCACCACAGAATAAAAGAAATAAGATAATTGCAACTTTTTATCTTACAGTTCCGACTTTGTTTCTTGCAATTTTGAGTTTATATATTACAATTCAGACTTTTCTTCACTGAATTGCGAATTTATATCTCACAGTAAATTCAAGTTTATATCTCGCAATTCTGAGTTTATATCTCATAATTTGTCATAATTGTGAGGGGAAAAAGTCATAATTATGAGATATTAAAGGGATAGTTCACACAAAAATGCATGTTGGTAATCAAAGAATTGCTGGTAGCCATTGACTTCCCTAGTATTTTTTTTCCCATACTATATGGAAGTCAATGGCTACCAGCAACTGCTTGGTTACCTACATTTTTCAAAATATCTTCTTTTGTGTTCAACAGAAGAAAGAAATTCATACATGTTTGGAACAACATACAGTATAGTTTTCGTTTTTGGGTGAACTATCCCTTTAACTCAGAATTGTGAGATAAAAAATTACCCTTTTTAATTAAGTCACCTAATTACATTTTTTATAAAGTTAATTTTTTTTAACCTTTTTTATTTTATATTCCGTGACAGAAACAGGCTTCCACAAATCTCACGTGTCTCAAGGTTTCAAATTGTGCTCAGATTTGCCAAGATACCAAAGTCTGCAATCATACGTGAGATATGAACTCAAACATTTTCATCTATGATGCTGATTTTATCATTTATTGTCTCATTTGTCTTTTTTATTTAAGAAAGTTTGGGATGCGTCAAAGATATTATATTTCAATGAAGTCTCATGAGTTATGAAAGAGAAAGTTCTGAACAATAACATTTTCTGGGTATTTAAATGATAATTTGGACGAAAGACATTAGACATCCAGAAAATATACATTTTACTCTGTGTAGACACACTGAAAATCATCTACAAATATTTTAATGTTAATAAACTTAAGTTTATATCAAAGATGGTGATTTATACAGTTGAGGGACACTACTGTATTTTAATGTAATATTTCTTTATTTTTCTTCTGTATACTTAATACAGAAATATTTTCAGATTTCATATTCTAAAAAATGCCAATGACAAATTTTCTTATAGTGTCCATTCACCCTATATTGTATTGCATTGATAATAGAAATGATAAAATGTCATTTATTCATTCCGTAATGGTCTTTTCTCCAGATGAGAGTATCAGAGTCAAAAATGAAAGTGTTCAGCAAGAACTGAACAAATTTTTTAACAAAGGTACGTAATGTCTGCATTATTTAAACTTGCATCATCTCATCGCATACACTGTTGGCATTCATAATGACGTTTTCACTTTATCAGAGAGACCCAACGTCACATATGAGGACAATGGTAAGACAGTTTTGTGATGCTTTATGTGTGAGCTATTAGACTTCACTAGATCACTTGTTGTTGTCAGTCATTAAAGAAATCTCTTGTGACTCAGAGGATTTTCAGACTCAAGATTTTCAAATACGCTTCGGTCACTGTCATGAGGAGATGTTGAAGGATTATGGTAGAAATTGCTCGCAGATTTTCAGTGAAATCATGAGTGAACTTGGAGAGGAGAACTGGTGTAATATGGAGATGGTGATAAGGTAAGCCAGAGCTTCTTCGCATGTGACTTTACTTAAAAGGAGAAACTTCTAGAGTAGTATCAGGTTTTACTCTTTAATCACATTTTGGGCTAAAACAATGCTCAGTGCATTATATATATATATATATATATATATATATATATATAAATGTTTACATAAAAAAATCATATGCATTTTTGCATGTGCATCACAGTCTAAAACTAACAGTTTCTGTATAGTACTTATCTTTTGATATGCACAATTTGTACTGAGAAATTACAAATGTTGCTTAACTACATGGTATATGCACAAAGAAAGGAAATGGTCGGGGAAACAATTGAAGGATGTGTGGGTGAGGTATTTCTTGAAGCCTGATCGCTGGCCACTTTAAGGGACTCGGAGACCTCCTGTTCCATTAAACAATGAGAGACATTTCCATTTTCTACGTAAGCATAGATAAGAACTGTTGTTGTTGTGAACCAGAGTGATTTTGCCACTGTCTTCTGCCAAATATAACTCCCTTTAGGACAGATTCATTAAAAAACAGCACTACCGACATTTCAAAAGTTTGGATACAACAATATTGTGAAATATGAATGCAATTTAAAACAACTGTTTTCTATGTGAATATATTTTAAAATGTAATTTATTCCTGTGATCAAAGCTGAATTTCCACCATAATTACTCCAGTCTTCAGTGTCACATGATCCATATTAGAAATCATTCTAATATGCTGATTTGCTGCTCATTAAAACATTCCTTTTTGTGGAAACTGTGATACATTTTACATCAGAATTCTTTAACGAATAGAAAGTTCAAATGAACAGCATTTTTTTTTAATTGTCTTTCTCTTTCTCTCTCTCTCTTCCCTATGTCCAGATACTACAGCAGTTTAACTATGTGTATGGAGGTAATATCCCATATGTCAGGTTGCTTTTACCCTAATCGTGTGGTGGAGCAGCTGTTCGTGAGGATACACCAGCAGTACTTCAGCCTTTGCAGCAATGAAGAGGATTTTCTCGACGCCCCGGCTGGAGTCGTCCTTGTAGCCACACTGCTGCCTATCCTCCTCATCCCCTTCATAGTGTACACTGTGGTCTGGAAGAGTAGTTTAAGGGACTGAATGCTTTTACATGATCCCAGAAAGTGATAAAAACTCTTTACTCACCCTCATGTCATTCCAAACCTGTGTGACTTTCATTCTTCTAAAGAAGATATTTTGAAGTTGTTGTTTGGATGTCTTCAAAATATCTTCTCATTTTGCAGAGCAATGAAAAGGATTGGAATGAATTGAGGGTAAGTAAATGAAGACTCAGTTTTTAAAGTAAACTTTGAATGTATACAGTTCATGTGGTTCACAATGATGTAATTATTGTAAATAAAATACACGCAGTGGGTGTGTGATTTTTCTGCACGCTTATAACTAAGAGTAAAAGAGTCTGATATAATGCACGATTTGTGATCACGTTATGAATATACTGTGACTCTGAATTTGTAATTTTGAAATACTGAATGCCCACATATCCTGCTAGACTTTATTCAGTTGTTGTATGTCAGTTTACAGCTATTGGTTTAAGTTTGAAAATGCTTAGCAACTTGTTCACACAAATGTAAATCTAAAAATACATTAAACACAATATTAAAGGCTTGTTTTTAATGCATTATAAGGATATTCATAATGCATTATAATGCATGCATAATGCCTTATAAAAACCATTATAATCTGTGTTGCATCATCTCATGAATAATCATAACTACGGTTATAATACATAAAAAATCCTAACTCTTTGTTGTTATACCTTTTAGGAGTGCAATGTTTTATAACACACAATGAACACATTATTTCCAAGTTGCAATGCATTATAATTCCCATAGTTATGAAAGTCTGATATTTTGACATAATTTAAAATAAGTTTACCTTAAGTTTAATGTTTTAAAATCACTTCATAATATCTTATGGTTGTTTAAAAGGAGATCAAGCCTTTTTGCTTTACGAAAAGCAGACAACTTTTAAACGATTGTGACCACATTATAAAGCCTTTTGATTGTTTTCTAGAAGACTTAATTTGTCACTTTATTTTAAGCAGTAACAAAACACACATAAAAGTAAGATATTGTGCAGATTTTAAACAATGTCGAAATATTACAAAGATAGGAATTATAATCCATTATAACTTAAGTGAAATACACTCTTAAAAATAAAGGTGCTTCAAAAGGTTCTTCAAGCGATGCCATAGAACAGTGGTTCCAAATCCTGGTCCTGGAGAACCCCCAACACTGCACATTTTAGATGTCTCCCTATTCAAACAGTTTGAATAGGGAGACATCTAAAATGTGCAGTGTTGGGGGTTCTCCAGGACCAGGATTGGGAACCACTGCCATAGAAGAACCATTTTTGGGTCCACAAAGAACCATTCAGTCAAAGGTTCTTTAAAGAACCATCTCTTTCTTACCTTTTTGTAATCTGAAGAACCTTCTTTCGCCACAAAGAACCTTTTGTGAAACAGAAAGGTTCTTCAGATGTTAAAGGTTCTTTATGGAACCATTTAGAAAAAAAAGGTTCTTCTATGGCATCGTGAAGCACCTTTATTTTTAAGAGTGTATAACATGTTGTTCATTGTGTTATACATCATGCTCTTAAAGGTAACTGCAAATAGACAATATAACTGCTGTTTTATTTTTCATGCAACGTACTAATTTAGCGAGCTATTATGCATGCATTATAATAAGACATGGCATTAAAAACATGGAATTTTTTATTTCATTAATTTTTTTCATGCATTGGTCAGTTTTACAATTGTGGGCTCTTCTTAAAGTATTGTTTCAGACTAGTGGAAAGAAAATATCCAAAATACACAAGGCTTTATGTGTTCAGCTTTCTGTTCTGGAAAGGTATCTTTAATTAGTGCATATTTAGATAATGCCTCCTTTGCGTATTTAAACACATCATTTCAGAAAACTTGTAACACACACAAAAAAAGTTCAATTCCTTATGTAATCAACTGGGGAAGTATGATGATATCTATTAGTTAATTTTTTACCCTATTCATCTGGGGTGCCTTGCCTTAAGAACACCTCTATAATACATTATGAATACAGGCTTCATAAAAAAGTTTTACCAAAAATAGTTTAGTGTTCATTAATGCATCACTCACGTTTTGATTTCTGTCTCCTGCACAGTCTAAAACACAAATAGCGTATTGTAAGAACCACAGCTCCGCCTACTGCCAACACCACTGCTAGCAAAAATGCCATCACGTCTAAAGAGTGATAGGAGTACCACGGCATCTTATAAGAGTCTGTACGTAAATGTGCTGCACCCTTATGCCGCATGACATGCTCTATCCAAAAGAGGGCGCTGTCTTGAGGTTGTATAGGCTGGTCTTTGTGTAGCCTAGACAGCCGTCGCATGTTATCCCTGTAGGAGGGCTGATGTAAAACCTCCTGCACTGTCGCCAAAAAGCTCTGGCTGTCCAGTTTGGTGACGTCAAGAACCTTAGCAGCCCCTCGTACCTTGAGACGCAACATATTCTCAAATTGGTCAAAAAGCAAGGGAATCCCAACCACTGGAACGCCATGGTAGATGGACTCATAAATGCCATTTGTTCCACCGTGAGCGACAAATGCACGTGTTTTAGGGTGACCAAGCAGATCGTTCTGAGGGAGCCACTTAACCAGAAGAGTGTTGTTGGCCAAATTGTGAGGACGCTCTCCTAAGTGCCTCCAGATGACTCGCTGAGGCAGCTGAGCAAAACCTGCCGCGATTTCAGACGTGATTTCACTAGGAAGACCTTTCACGAGCGTCCCAAGCGACATCACAACCACCCCGTGTTCTCCTGAACCTTGCACAAACTCCTCCAGGTCTGGAGGTAAGGGCTTGGAGGGTTTGCATTGGAAGCCTCCAATGTAGACGACGTTTGGCATTGTTGGACGCGGGAACTCGAAGACGAAATCTGATCGCATGAGCCAGATATCTGCGCCTTGAAGCAAATGGTAGAAATCGGTTTCGGGTCCAAAGTAGCGTGCAACCAGTTTGTCATATTCTGGTCTCACAATAAAATGGTCTATGCACATGTTTAGCACATAATGGAAGATGTTCTTGAGCCTTTCTCCAAATGACATGCGGTTTGACAAGTGGCTTCCCGCTGCTGGGACGTATGAAACCGGAGAAGGCGCGACAACAAAGTGCCCTTCTCCACTAGTGATCCATCTCACATTGTACACCATTGGTAATTTGAGTTTATGAGCCACCAGCACACCTGCAGGCAGACCTGGATCAATCAGAACCAAGTCGTAATGTCCCTCATAGAGCTCTTTCATCATCACCGGGTTTTCGAAAATCTCCACAACCAGCTGACTTGCTTGCCAATGCATGCCGTAGAGATTCTTCAGCATCTGCCAATAGAACTGAACGAATGCAAGCGGCGATCCTCCATGTTTTTGTATCTCGAGCATTTCACTCAGGAACGAGATGAAGAAATCTTGTTTCTCTATGTTTATTGGCTCCGGTAGGGTCACCGTTATGGCTTTGTAGTGTGGTGAATGCTCCTTGACGTACCAGCTGCTGGCGGTTCGTATCACGGTGACCTCGTGACCGCTGGAGTGAAGGTCCTCAATCAGTATATCCATGTTGACCCAGTGGCTGCCATCCACAGGAAAAACAAGGACCTTGCCGGCCAGAGCAGAGGGAAGGTCAGTGGAGAGGAGTACGGATAGCAGCAGAAGACAGCGTGAAGATTTTCGGACATTCATTGCTCCCTAGTGCACAGAAAAACACTAATGTTTACTAGACGGACTTAATGCATGACATGATAAAACTGTAGTTCCTTGAACAAAAAAGTTTGCTCTGTGTTTATTTGATCTAACACATTCCTCTAATGCCAGAAAATACTTCATGCTTGAGTGCATGCATGGACACACACAGTGTTTCTGAAACCCTGAACAGACAGTATTATTTAAAACAGATGTGTCTTGTTAACTGTTGAGTTTTTGGAGGAAGATTGCATGTTGTATAAACTATTGTTCTTTTTGTGTGCAACATCTGATGGTATTTTCTGCAATTTAACATAAGTATGATTCAACAAAAACTGTAGATAGTAATAAGGTAAAGGTTCATTGCTGTAGAAACAGAACTGATTAAACTGGATGCGGTTTTCTTGCAAAGAAAAGAGGAAAATAAATCACTTTTACCTTCTTATGTTGCCTCTCTTCCTCTCTCTGATGAAACGCGGGTTTGTTCAGTCTGGTTCCAAGTCCAGATCGTGCTTTAGTATTGCATAACTGAGTGGAGGTAATCCCAGAACAGTGGGCGTTGTTAATGCAGCTGTGTGTTGGAGTTTGCATGAGAAGCGTGCACTCCTGCTGTTTCACAAAAACCTCCTCCAATGCTTCCTCTAGGACCTAAAACAAGGAAAATGCACATATTATTGACACAAATACCACTAAACACATCTCCATGTGAGAGAATATTTACATATAAAAGGAGAGGCAGAGAAATCAAAGTGAATCATTAATTGCATTGTGTTTTCTCTCTTTCTGGCACAGTTCAAGGATGATGGCAACATGGTTCTATGTTTAATATCTTCAGCAAATTAGATAAATGTCAGGTCATGAAACTCCTTAGATAAGAATAAAGTGTGAGACTGTGAAGCATGCAAGACAACGTGAGAATAGAGTGAGAAGAAAATATGGTGAAAAATATTTCAAATAGTAAAGAAACTCCTCGTAAAAGGCATCATTCTATAACCAAACAAATGATTAAATAATGTTAACTTTTTTCACTTTATATTGTTTTGCGTATTTAAAAAAAAACTGTCAAGTCAAGTTCCTTATTTATTATTTATTTTGTTTTCTTTGGTTAAGCATTAGTACAAGGTCTAATAAGTGTGCACACAAGCAAAACAAAATCAAAAGTAAATAAAAAAAGCAAAAAAGTATTTAATAATAGGTATAAATAATTTTAATAATGTTTGTACTTTGATTTCTTGTCATTATCAATACAAAAAAAACTTTAAAATACAAAAAGTTGTGGAAAAATACTTCCAAGGTCAAAGTTCAGAGTAAGAGACTGTCCAGGGCTGCGTTCAACCCCGACAAAATGGTGCAAAACGTTTTTTAAACGGAAACGGTGGTGCGTTGAACACCCTGTTCTAATGATGCAAGAGTGGCAACTATGGCAGCTGAGAAGGCCATTCTTTGCGCTCGATGTTACAGTCACTGCCCTTGCCGTCCAGAATAAAAGAGAACATCCCAATCAAATTAAGGGATTTGTGGAAACTGTGGTCCCTAATATTGTGATCCAACATTTGCCTCGCATTTCAGGATGAAAAGACAAACATTTCAGGTGAAGGATAATCCACTTCTTACCTCCGAGACTGTTATTATCTATATGACCTTATTATTTTTATTGTGAGTATTAGGCTTATCATTATTGCTGATCACTGTTGTTGTGCTATGATATTGTAATATTTACCATTATATAATCAGAGGAGCATAGAAAAGTTTATGAAAGTGTCACTCCACAATACAATAGCAAATATATATAAATATGTATAGTATTTTTATGTTACATTAATCAGTGTCTAGCACACCTTCCTAAGGAAAGGATATGGACCAGAAGACATTGAAATTACTAAATTATATTTAGACATACTTAAAGAAGTTCCAGATATATACTTGTGCTCTTATTATTTCAGTTATGTTGCCTTTAATGTAAATAAACATGTGCAAACAATATACTTGCTCTTGTGAATTTATTTTGATGTTAATTACATTGTGCGAGCTGTCTCTTTAATACCGCGTGGTTTATATACATGTTGCTGCTGATTGGGCTGACATTTTTGACACACCCACCAAACAAGAGAAAACGCATCTCAAACCCCGTTGCACACCGTTTCCAGGAAACATGTCGTTCAAACCGGAAACCGTAGCAAAACGTTGCGCACCGGTTTGAGCTTGAACTTGCCCCAGATGAGCACGCAGTGATTTTTCCATTATGTTGAAAAAGTTATACGTTTATCAATTGTTGAAGAAAAATCACGCTGCACTTCATGATTATTAACAATGACACATTAATAAATTATTACCATAATATTTTATGGGAAAACGCATTGAGCATGCGCACATCCTGAGCGGCGGTAAACAGTCAGGAAAGTCATTTCAGAGCAACTTTGTGGTAGAAATCCAGACCCTACTGAGGAGACTTCGACCTGCATATTCCTAAATAAGGTGAATGTTTGGTGAATTTTTAATTTGTACGTTTACGAGGCATCACACGACCTGTTAGTAAACTTGTTGCTTCTATATGTATTACCAATTAGTGCTGGCAAGTCTAAAACGACAGATGTTGAGCTATTTTATTTTGAACAATGTCTTGTATACAGTTACTCGGCTACCATTTAGTAATAACAGCATAATGCCACACGATGGCGACAAGTAAATCTTGTGGCTGAGCTTGAAGACAAATCAACAATGAGCACGTTTACATGCACACCAGTAAGCTGATAATAACTCACAAATAGCAGCTTATTAAAATAACCAGTTTTCCCCGTTTACATGCACACCAGTAACCTGACAACGCAAGTAAGCTGCGTTTACGTGACTTCATTAATAAATCAGGTTATTTCACTGTAGTGACGTCAAAATATAATAATTTGCGTATCTGACTCCGAGTATTCCATACATTTGTCAGTGGTGATGTAAAATTAAGCTTGCAACATGTCGGGAAACTTACAGCTCATATAGCCTATTATCCTCTCGTGCAGTTATAAACGCAGCATTGTGACTGAACCACGTCTACTTCTGCTGCACGAGATGAGAACACATTTTTTATCATTTTCTGAGTCATGAAAAAGTCTGCTTTTGTGATATACAGGTGCATATCAATAAATTAGAATGTCGTGGAAAAGTTCATTTATTTCAGTAATTCAACTCAAATTGTGAAACTCGTGTATTAAATAAATTCAATGCACACAGACTGAAGTAGTTTAAGTCTTTGGTTCTCAACAAATTAGAATACTTCACAAGTTTTTAAGAATTCCACTGAATTACTGAAATAAATGAACTTTTCCACGACATTCTAATATATTGAGATGCAGCTGTATTTCCTTCTTTCTTTACTGCAAGACGTTTGCTCGGTCTAGATGTGCTTAAATCTGCACTAACGATGCGTTCCTGTCACGTATCACACATGCGCACTTCAATAAGCCGACAGAAAGCGGGTTATTGCGTTTACATGCCGTGCGAAATCGGAGTAAGAGGCAAAAAACTACCTGTTGCGACCGGTTTATGCTTACGCCGTTAATGACCTTATTCCGATTAAAGAGAAAACGGGTTACTGCGTTTACATGACCAAGGTGAGTTTTCGGCTTATTAAGCATAATCGGCTTGAGAACGCTCAGTTAATACACGTTCAAGTTTTCATGTTCACGTTCAGTCATGATACTACAGGGGAGTCTAACACCGCTCAACACACTTGTCTGATATGATTCATTTATGATTTGGACCATTGCATGCATAGTGAATCAAAGCTTAATTTCTGGGTCAGAAGAGGTTGGTGCTGCCACAAAGATGTAACATCTGAATGTTTGCCCTCTTGATCCACAGTCATTAATTTTGTAAAGATAATAAATGTCCAAACGTGTTAAAAATCTATGTTAGTTAATAGAGATGGGAACTCGATTTAATATATTGAACTGAATAAAAATGAAAGACTGAAAATAATCCAGATCAATCGTAAATCATATTAAAAATCAAAATAGTCATCAGGCAAATGTGTGTTGTTTAGTTTCAAATAAATATGTGTTTGTTTCATAGTCTTTTAACTATGTGCCAAACCAAACAATTAACAATCATTTGGAAATATTTTGTAAAATTAGATGCATCTTTATGCAAGTGAATAGTATATGTCTGTATTTGTGTGTGAATATGGAAGATATCTGCAGATTTAATTCAAACAGTAACATGTCATATAGATCTCAAGCACAGATTCTGAGTAATGTGAGTGCATCTACAAACAGCCTGCAACGCAAACTAAAACTGACACGTCGCTCTGTGTGGTGGGTGGAAAACACAAAACATGCACACATACACACAAACACACTGATCTGTGGGCAGGTACCATTCTGACATCAAAAAGTACGCTTTGGCTCGTTACTTTGTGTGTGTGTGTGTGTGTGTGTGTGTGTGTGCGTGCGGTCCGTGCTGTAGGAAGCAAGCATGTAAATCAAAAGCATCTTGATTTCCATTTTGATCTTATTCTGAGGTTTACGGCCTCCACAGAGACAACAATCACTCCTACTTAGACAAAGACGAGCGAATCTTTGTTTTGCTGAATTAAAAAACCTTGAACCAAAACAACAATTCACTTACAGTAAATAACTTTTGGTTTATAAACAATATAATGTTTAATTCATAAGAACTGGAATAAAATGACCATCTCCCACTATACACAAACAGTATTTTCTTAATTCTTTCTGTTCATTGGTTTGGGCACTTTTTGCACACACTGATTGAAAAGTAATTTCATTTTTACCCAAAACATGCAGAAGCCCTGAAGTTGAATGTGAAAGTGTATTTACAGGAATGCACAATATACTGGCACTATATTGATTATTAGTTGATATTAGAGTTGAATTTATTGGGATCAATTTTTATGAAAGCCCATTTCCACCACATGTGAAAAATAAAATCATTCTTTTGACATATCATAATTATGACCTGTCTCATAATTTCAACCTTTTATGTCTATTTTTTGTCAGTGTTGCAGAAGTAGATATTGGATATTTAATTGTGCATTTAATTGTTAATTATTCTTTTTCTATTTTTCTGTTTATTTCATGCTGGTCATTATGATTTGGTGATGCCTAAATTTACTTGTTTATTTTAGTATTTTAATATTTATGTATACAAAATTGTATAAAGTTTTAATATTAGTTGTTTATTGGTTAGTAGCCATAATAAAAATAATTATTTATCAAAATAGTTAACAACTTTGGCCAGCATTTTAATATGTGCATTCATATCTATTTCCTTTTTTATCCCTGCTATGTGTAACAACACAAACACATACAAACGACATAATTTCTGTGCATTTTTTTGGCAATATAAGACATAATATATATATTTGTACCTTAATTAGCATGTACAGTAGTGTCATCTTTGACCACATTGATATTAATTAGATTTTTTTTTTTAGGTCACCTTGACTACGAGAAAAAAAAACTTTCCAGGGGACGTTAAGAAAAATGCAGAGAAATTATGCATGAATTTTTTTTGGTTCTTTTATGTTGTTACACACAGCACAAAAACATGATAATAAAAATGAATGTAGGAAATTCGAGGAAGGTCTATTTCATGCTGTTTTCACTTTTCCCTTCAGAGCTGTTTGTGACATTGCAGAGTGTCTCTTACAATATTTTCCAATATGTGTTCCTCAAATGCAGTGGTACCATAAAATAGTGCGAGTTAAGCTGTGTGAATGCTTTGTGTAACTAGTGAGGTGATGCTGAAATGACTGGACAGCTGTTTTTTTTAACGCTTTTCATTGCTTTTAAAGTTACCAGCTATTGCCTTTCCTCTGTGTGCTGCTAGACATGGAGACAACTCCAGAAAAACCTGCACATATATGTTCATGCATACAGACACTGAGCATATGCATGCAAACACAGCTCCTAAGATCATTCTAGCTTACATCATGGTCTGTCTGGCCCAGCCTGAGGTTTATCTGAACATTATGTTTGCTTTCAAGTAAAATCGAAAAAAGAAACAAGAAATCCCCCATTGCTCAAGGATGAGCAGGACACATGCATCTCTCTGGGGGCTTGTGACTGACTCAAGGGGCTTGTTGTTCTCAGCTGGCGGAGGCATGGGGAGAAGAAGAGCTGTGGAGGAAGTAAATTACATAGGGAGGGCTGGAAAAGTCTCTGTTCTTGGCGCATTACTGCGGCCGCTGTCAAGGACACCGCGGCTTGAGTCACTGCGCTCGGAGATCCACATGGCCTTCATTCCCTGCAGCCAATGATCAACATTCTCTCTGTTTCAGTGACTCACAGTGATAGACAGCAAGCCCTCCTCTAGTCTTCATCATGTCCCATGACAGCATCACAAACCACAAGAGAGGATGGAAAAGAATGCTATGTTTGTGTGAAAACGCACCTTCAGTTTTAGACTGTTGTGTACGGTGGTACAAATGGAAGGCACTGTGAAGTTACACAGAGAAAATCCCTGGAGCAACATGAATTTAAAGGTCACCCAAAAATGGTTTACTCACCCTCATGTCCTTCCAAACCTGTATGACTTGTATGTTTTAAGAACTGTTATATCCATACCATGGAATTTGTGAGGTCCAAAACAACATTGGATCCCAGTAACTTTCATTGTATAAATGTACAACTGAGACATTTTTCAAAACATTTTCCAAATAAGAAACTAAGTCTGGTTTGGAATGACATGGACATTGAGAAATGTTATTTTTGGGTGAACTGTCACTTTAAGGGCATTTTCTCATGTGATGGCTCATGGTTTATTAGCTATTCTGGTTACTAGCGTTAACCTTTAATCGCTACACCATTGCAACCAGGAACTTGAAATGGAAAACAATTAATCAAATTAATTCAGAATTAATTTTACTTTTGTAATGCAAAATATCTCGGAATGAACCTGAATAATCAAAAAGAGAAATATATGTAGGTTGGGACTAAATTATATTGTGTTGTAATTAAGGAACAAGTTATGACATTTTAACAAATGATTAGAAAAGTCACTTTTTATATGTACATAATTTGTGTAAAGAATGTGCACTGAGGAATTCTTCACAATAAGTAAGTAAATATAATCCATTTTGTTCAGTGTAATTCTAGTTTTATTTACATACTATTGTATTTTTTACTCATTTTGAATTTTAGTTTTGAATTTTTATATTTTCTGTTTAATTAATAGTCATTTTGGGTACGTTTACATGACAATGATGTACTAAAAATGTCAAAATGTTTTTCCTTTGTGGTTTGCGTAGACGACAATGTTGTCAAAATTATCCCCGTTCACGCAGATCCACGAAAACGACGTAAAACGCTGTATTGTGCATGCCAGGCCAGTAGTTGGCAATGTGACTTTGTAAAGAAACACTACGCACACACTTAATATGCATGTGCATGATGTCACCATTTTTTGTATTTTACACGAAGATGATAATGGTCACATTTTCAAAAATTGCACTTTGAAGCCTGCTTTTCAAAAGTTTTCTGTTTTTAGTTGAAAATTGTATTATGTAAACGCCCCCTTTATGTCCTTTGGCCATTTTTATTATTATTTTTTAACTAATTTCGGTTAGTTGGCATGGCAAGATTTCTAATTTTCATTTAGTTTTTCCATCTAATATTTATATTTTATTGAAGCTTTATATTAATTACTAAAAATGTTTTAAATAGTTTTAGTTTTGGTTAATGATAATAACCCTGGTTTGACTTTAACTTTACTAACACAACTCCATTCTCAAGATTGAGGATTAGCCCCTACAGCTGCAATGGAACATCTTTTGCGTTGGCTGGGAATCAGACCCAGGTGTCCTGCATGGTGGGAAAATTCTTCTACAGTACTAGTAATGCACCCATATCAAGCCCAAGGCTGTGCATTTCCAAGCAGGTCTTCTTTCAGACCCGACATTCATTAAATAAATGGCCAGAAAGGACCTGTAATAAACTAGCAACCTCAGGAAACCATTTACCACCTGCTTTAGCCGGATGTGTGATCTTGAGCTCTTCGCTTAAGGTTGGTGCAGGCAGTGCAGTTTTTTTCTATCCTTTATGATTGTTGCTTGTCAGAAATTTATATGTTGAATGTGATGTAAGTTGCTTTAGAAAAACGCATCTGCCAAATGCATAAATGCAAATGTAATGAGATCTTGCATAAAAGCTAGTGGTCTTGTATGTCAGAGTTTGCTCGCATTTGGTCTGGTCATGGTTTGACATCCTCATTGACATGCATGACAAAGAATTCAAGTGATTGAACTCTGTCATGGCTGGATGATAGAGGGGATTTGTGGACACATTTTTCAAAGTGAACTTAAGGTAAATTTTAAGTGTGATTATAAATGTCAAGAGAAAACTACCAAGATATTGTACCAACTGTTATTCTCTTACTCACAGAGTACGTCATTAATTGCCGTTCAAACCAATTTATTTAGACGACCTTCGTAGGAGCAGCCACTCAGCAGGATTGTGACGCATTATTTCTGACACTGTAAGAACTTCGTTGGAGGCTAAGATTCATCACAAGGCATAATAGGCGTGGGGAATAATTGTTCGCTGGTGAGCATGTCACACTGAACTTTCAAAAACCTGTGATGAAACTTGATGGAAAAATGTGGTGCACTGGGCTTTAGTTGGGTTGATGAAGAAGTCTGGGCCCTAATCCAACATTCACATCTCACAGTATTCGTTTCTTGATCTTTTCAGGTACATGCCGTGGGGAAGCCGGAGTTGCGCTGACTTGCATGCGCTTTGGATCAAAATACAGTACCTCCTGAACAAATATAATGTAAATATTCTCATTTTCATACAGCCGTGTTCATTACAGCAGCCTGCGATTCCTGGGACACGGCACAAGACATGATCATCAACTCTCGTACAAGTTAGCATTTATTTAAAAGAAAGGAAAGGACGTAACGTGTGGCCAAGTGTAGTGTCCCATACTCGGAATTTGTGCTCTGCATTTCACCCATCCAAGTGCATACACACAGCAGTGAGTAGTGAACAAACACACACACACACACGGTGAACTCACACCCAGAGCAGCGGGCAGCCTTTTTTGCTGCGGTGCGGGGAGCAGTTGGGGGTTCAGTGCCTTGCTCAAGGGTCTCACCTCAGTCATGGTATTGAAGGTGGAAGAGAGCGCTGTACATTCACTCCCCCCACCTACAATCCCTGCTGGTACCGAGACTTGAACCCGCAACCTTTGGGTTACAAGTCCGACTCGCTAACCATTAGGCCACGACTGCCCCGTATCTCTAATGAAATGAGACAATTATGAGCACGCCCGTAGCCCGGTACCGTAGCCCGTGTTCTCATAATCCGAGTGAGCTATGGAAGAATTACTGTGTGTTTACTGCACATAAATAAGCAATGACATAATTGCATAACGATGCCAGGTTGCATCGAGATGATGCCAGGATGTATCGAGGGCGGTTTTGAGAGAAAGAGGAAAGCGGAAAAATCCTTTTGCTTGCACTCAGCAGGTGTCCGTTTCAATTAACTGATGCTTAGAATGCATCCTGTCATATTTACTTGACCATCACGCAGACAGAGAAAACAGACTATTTCTTCCTCGTCTTCCCTCTCCTCTCGTGCTTGATCTAACCACCACGTCTAAACCTTGCCATCGAGTCTTGCTGTTCAACAAGTGGAAAATCAAATCATATTTCAAAAGACTGCACAATAAAACACACTTAAAGGACTTGGCATTGGGTTTCCCCAAATACCCTTCTTTCTCTCTGATTCTCTCTCGCTCTCCCACTGTTTCTTCATTTGCAGAAAGCCTCCTCCCACTTGTCCTTTTTGAGTCATACAAAGAAACCCACTAGAAGGGCATTCTCTCTCTGTCTCTCTCAATCCTACTTCCTTCCTCAACGCCCAAAAACTTCTCTCCACTCATCTGCTGAAACAGTGAATGCTCTCTCTCTCTCTCTCTCTCTTTCAAGCATACACACACACACTCATCTGAGATCCCAGGTGGTTCTCATTTCCCCTCTCATCTCCGTGAGCACCTGACGTTGAGGGAGCATTTTCCCTCTCACTTCCAGAGATCAATATTCCGGCTTGCAGCGAGAGCTCCGTGCTGGCGGCCCAGCCGCTTTCCCACTTCAGCCTGGGACGTAAGACCCTGCTGGGGGCTGGCGTGGCCGTCATGTTGCTCTTAGTGCTGGTGGTCCTCATTCCTATTCTGGTTCATCTGGCGGGCAGCAGTGAAAACGGAGGTCAGTACGAGATGCTGGGCACTTGCCGAATGGTCTGCGATCCGTTCTTGGAAAAAACTGGCACTATGGCTGGTATCGGTACGGGCACAGCAATCACTAATACGCAGTTGGAAGCTGAGGCGCTGACTGATCATAGCATGGGACCCCCATTGCCCACTTACGCCCATGGACCGCAGGGCAAACCCGGCCGCCAAGGAAAACCAGGGCTACCAGGTCCTCCAGGACCAATGGGGCCACCGGGAAATAAAAACCACACAGAACGACCGGACATCTTTGCTCTGGGTGGAAGAACAGCTACTGGAATGGGGACAGCTGTCTATACTATGGGACCCCGTGTGGCCTTTTACGCAGGTCTGCGAAACCCACAGGAGGGCTATGAGGTTCTGAGGTTTGAAGACATAGTTACAAACATTGGGAATAACTACGATGGATCGACTGGGAAATTTGTGTGCAAGGTTCCAGGGACGTACTTCTTCACATACAATGTCCTCATGAGAGGAGGAGATGGAACCAGTATGTGGGCGGATCTCCTGAAAAATGGACAGGTAAGAGTTTTGCTGCTAACACACCTGTACTGAGGTTTATGAAAACATTTATAGTACAATATTACAATATTAATAATGATGTATTTTACTACACTGTAAAGAGAATTTGAAATAGTATTTACTATTATTAATATAACTGAATGTCTCTTTATGGTAACAGTAGCACATGTATAACCCTCATCTATAATGACTGCAGATTTAGATAACTTTTTCAGTCCCAAAACTATAGGTCTGTTTCACATTGCAATAATGTCTATGTCTGTTTTAATGGAAAGACAAGGTGCATATTATTCCAGCAGCATATGCAATTCATACATTACATAACACTGATGAAACACAGACTGCCACTGGGATGTAATTCCTCGAGTTTCTAAATAATTATATTCCAGCGGGTTTCAATTTGAATATTCATATCAGGATATCCCATATGTAACAGAGAGTGCATTTAGGGTTGCTTTCCAGCAAAGGTCAGTTTCATGTTTGAGATGAACTTCTGTCATGTCTATGGTCAATCTAAACTGTAAACAAGGAAAGGTTTCACTGAACCAAGAGTTCGCCTCTAGTCAAGAGGGCTGCTGCGTGTGTGTGTGTGTGTGTGTGTGTATACATATTATACTCGTCTTCTGGCACTTTCGCACACGCAAAATAAATACTTTAAAGATTCCACACACATAAGAATAAGCACTGAGGCCTGCCTCATGATTTTAAGATGTGTGTGTGTGTGTATAATTATTTGTTATATATATAATTATCATGAACAGCTTATAAATGGAAGATTTTAAGGCGTTTTACTTTTTACAGAAAAAATATAGTTGACCAAATGTAAAAGAAATGGTCACCCTGCTCCTACCTCTTTATAACTATCTTATATAGTATACATATACATATACACACATATATATATATATAATTTAAATATTTAGTATTTAATAAATAGTCATTTTAATAGTATATATATGTGTGTGTGTGTGTGTGTGTGTGTGTATAAACACACACACACTCATATATATATAATATTGCTATTTGTAAACAAACACTGTGCACACATGGCTAATCTGAATATATCTTTTAGCTTCTTTGCTTTAGCTAGGCTATGGGCTCTAATTATAATTCCCTGATGCTCGGTCATTCACATGGAAACACACATGATGGAGATCAGTTCAAACACAGCTACAGACATGTATAAAATACACACCCATGCATGCTGTGTGCTTGAGTCAGCTGTGTTACTCATATGAGCGCAGAGAGTGATGGCCCACAGCGACAGCGTTTCACAGTCTGACTGATGCCATCATATCTGAGCGACTTCGGTCCCTGTCCATCAAACAAGTAAATGACAAAATCGCCCATCCTCTCAGGCTCCCAAATAAACACTTAAAGCTCTTTTTATCCCATTAGCTCAAACCTACTTAAAGTTGTTCGCCAAACCTGACTGCTTTCAAAGGGGAGGTGGCTTTGTTTTAAAAAGCACATTTTCAATTGCATATTGCAGACCTGGCAGCAATGGTATGATAAATTATGTTTCTTTAGCTCAATCATGCTGTTAAGTGACCATTTTGCATTTAAGGTGTCTGGATTTGAGTAGTGGATTGATGCTATAGTCCATGAGAACGTGCATGAATTGGTTTTGGTGTGTTTTTTAAAAATGCAGCTTTCATGTTTTGCATTGCATTGTATATTGATGCATGTTAGTTTTATCCGAATTGTTGAAATCCTGTTTGAAGGAAGAATACTTGTTTAAGGCTTGCAACCACATTTCCTTTGTAGGATTCTTGTATTTAAATGAACTGAGGAACATCCAGTTCTTGTTTGCCTCCAGCTTTACTTCTGATCGCATTTTCATAATTTACATTTTTAAAAGGTCTGCTTTAGAAGAAGCACAGATAAACCATCAGCTATTCGAAACAGATTCATGAAAACATTGTTAGCTCATTTTAATCTGCCGGAAAAAACACAGCTGGTAATTTCAGAGTCAGACAGTATGTCATCAAATTAATGCGATGATATGGCATTGCATAAACAGGAAGAAAAAAAACAAAATAGTGTTTCAATCCCACCAGTCTCACCTAAAGAAAAGCTGTAAAGAAATTCTTCATCCAAAAATTATTTTTTTGTAAAATGCATATGACTGTCTATGACTGTATAAATATATATACATATAACCATTTTTTCAAAAGAAGGCTCTTTTATGCTCACCAAGGCTGCATTTATTTGTTTAAAAAAACAGTAATATTGTGAAATATTATTATAATTTAAAATCATGTTTAATTTTTGTATATATTTTCAAATGTAATTTATTCCTGTGATCAAAGTTGAATTTTTAGCATCATTACTCCAGTCTTCAGTGTCACATGATCCTTCAGAAATCATTCTAATATGCTGCTTTGCTCAAGAAACATTTCTGATTATTATTATTATGTTGAAAACAGTTGTGCTGCTTCATATTTTTGTGGAAACCGTGATACTTTTTTTTCCAAGATTGTTAAATGAATTAAAAAAAAACGTTCAAATATACTTAAAATATAAATCTTTTGTAACATTATAAATGTCTGGACTGTCACTGTTTACCAATTTATTGCATTCTTCTCTCATTTCGTTAAAAACAACTTTACTGATCCCAAAATCTTAAAGATACAGTATATATATAAATATCATTAGTCACTCTCTTTCAGGTTTTTTAGTCTAAAAACTGAACAGCTGCATTAAATGTCACATTGAGCTGAAGGTCTCTCTTCCTCTCTTTGCAGGTGAGAGCCAGTGCCATCGCTCAGGATCAGGATCAGAGTTATGACTACGCCTCAAACACCGTCATCCTGCACCTCGACCCCGGGGACGAGATCTTCATCAAGCTGGACGGTGGGAAAGCGCACGGCGGGAACAGCAACAAATACAGCACTTTCACTGGCTTCATTCTGTACAGTGACTAGAGGTCAAAAGGTCATCGAGTTCAGTCTCAGTCTGTAGGTAAGAGATGTTAGGGGGTCTTCATTGATTTAGGTTGTAAATCTGATGTTTATAAC